ATTGTCCTGCAAATACTCCACAGGGTTGTCCCCTCCCAGGTGCAGAATCCGGTACTTTCTCTTGCTGAACTTCATCTGGTTGGTGATTGCCCATCCTTCTAATTTGTTGAGGTCTCTCTGCAGGGCCTCTGTGCCTTTGAGGGACCCAACAGCTCCTCCCAGTTTTGTATCATCTGCAAAGTTGCTCAATATCCCTTCCAGTCCTGCATTCAAGTCATTTATGAAGATGTTGAAGAGCACAGTGCCTAAGATGGAGCCCTGTGGAACGCCACTAGTGACAGGTCACCCATCTGATGTCACCCCATTCACTGTTACCCTCTGTGCTTGACCCATGAGCCAACTGTTCACCCACCACATGATGCGTTTATCCAGCTGTGTGCTGGATGATTTGTCCAGAAGGATCCTGTGAGAGACAGTATTGAAAGCTTTACTGAAATCCTAAAAGATTACATCAAATGGCTTCCCTTGATCTACTAGTTGGATTACCTTGCCATGAAAGGAAATTGGGTTGGATAAGCAGGACTTTCATGAAGCTGTGCTGGCTGTGACCAATGATTGTGTTGTCTTTCAGGTATTTTTCAATACATCACAGAATAATCTTCTCCATAACTTTATCAGGCACTTAAGTGAGACTGATAGGCCTGTAGTTTCCAAGGTCCTCCTTTTTTTGCCCTTCTTGAAAACTGGGACAGCATTCACCAGCTTCCAGTCAGCTGGGATCTCTCAGGATTCCCAAGGCTGCTCAAAAATCATTGAGAGAGGTTTTGTGATGACATCAGCCAGCTCTTTGAGGATTCTGTGATGAATTCCACCAGGTCCCATAGATTTCTAGGGATCCAGATGGAGCTGCAGATCCCACACAATTTCAGGGTTGACTGGGAGATCATTCTCGCAGTCACAGTCCTCCAGCTCAGGGCACTGAGACACCCTTGGTCCATCATCCATATTGAAGACAGAGGCAAAGAAAGCATTAAACATCTCTGCCTTGTGTCTGTCCCTGTTTGTGAGATGACCATCCTCATCCTGTAACAGGCCAATGATATTTCTAAACTGCCTATTGACATTAACATATTTGAAAAAACAATTTTTATTGTCCCCCACATTTCTGGCCAGTTGCTGCTCCAGTTGGGCTCTGGCTGCAGGGATTTTCTCCCTATAGCAGCAAGCAGCATCTCTGAATTCTTCCCATGTGACTTGACCTTGCTTCCACTGGGCATACACCTTGTATTCTTGCCTTATGTCCAAAAGAAGATTCCTGTTTAGCCAAGCCAGCCTTCTGCCTCACCTGCTTGACTTCTGACATTTGGGAATTGTTGCTCCTGTGCCCTTAGGAGGTGATGGTTAAAAAGCAACCAGCACTGACGGACCCCAGCACCTGCCTGGAGTCTGCTCTCCTCATGTCCAGAGTTGAGGTTTTACTGGCACTTTTCCTCCGTCAATGGAGTTTTTAAACTCGATCACTTCATGGTCACTGTGGCCAAGACAGCCACCAATCTCCACTTCACTCATGATATCCACTCTCTTGACAAGGAGAGCATCTTTCCTAGTCGGCAAGGACCTGTCAGAAAGGACCATAGGACCTGTTCCATAAAGTTGTCAGTCATTTTTTAAGGAATCTTCTGGCCTAGGTTGTACCAGCTTTGTGAGGCTCCCAAGTAATTTCTGGCAAGTTGAAGTACCCCACAAAGACAAGGGCATTTGACTTGGAAGTGTCCCTCAGTTCCTCAAAGAATAATTTTTCGGTGTCATTGTCCTGGCTGGGAGGTCTATAGCAGATTCCAACAGTTACATCCATGTTATTTTCTTTCCCCTTGATCTTACCCAGAGGCTCTCAACTGTGCCATTCCCAACTGTGAGCTCCATACATACGGTGCCACTCTTCCACCTCTTCTGCCCTGCCTATCCCTCCTAAAGAGCTTGAAACCCATCTAACAGGACAATCCAGCTCCAGTCACAAGTCTCATCCCATCAGGGTTCACTTATGCCAGTGATGTCAAATCCCTGGGACTGGGCCAAAGCTTCAAGCTCCTCTTGTTTGTTTGTTATGCTGTGTGTGTTAGTGTAGAAACATTTCAGGTGTGGTACATTGTAGCCAAAACCTTGTGAGGCAGATTGAGGGATCTCATGAGTGCTGATTTTCTCGAGTTTTGGCACAGCATCCCATCGCTCATCTCTGGCAAGGCCGGTTTTGTCCCTTTCCCCTTCCCAATTTAGTTTAAAGCTCTGTCGACAAGCCTTGCTGGCTCCTGCGCTAGAACTCTGTTTCCTCTCTGAGATAGGTGCATCCTGTCAAGTGTCAGTAGACCAGGTGTTGAGTAGATCATCCCATGGGCAACAAACCCCAAATTTTTCTGAGTACACCAACCTCATAGCTGCTCATTGACCTGATGGATCTGCCTATTCCTATCAATATTATTCCTTGTCGTTGGAAGGATCTAGGAAATCACTGCCTGTGCTCCTGATCCCTCTACCAATCGTCCCAGGGCCCTGAAGTCTTTTGATTGCCCTTTGTTATCTCGTCACTGCCGGTTTGAACAACCAATAGCTGACAGTAATCACAGGGCCTTACTGGACTAGAGAGTTTTCTAGTAATGTCCCTTACCCAAGCCTCTGAGAGACAGCAGACTTCCCTGTGAGTTGGGTCTGGTCTGCATATCAGGCCCTCCGTTCTCCTTATAATAACTATCCTTCTTTCCCTCTTGACAGAGGTCTTGATGCAGGATACAGGTGGTGGTTTCAGGAGGTCCCTCTATCCCAGAAGGACCTTTGGCTACCTCATCAGCTGTCTGGCCTTCTAGTGCTGGAGCGTCATACCTGTTCTAGAAGGCACCAGTTCCACCTGTCAGATTCTGAGGAGGAGGAACCTTTCTCCTGGTATGTGCAGTGATCATCTTCCATCCTTCATCTTTAACAAACTCTCGACCAACAGTCCCTTAACTACTGACATTGTAGGCTTCCAAGTCCACCTGCTTCTCCACTACAGTGGAGGTTCAAGAATCCCGAGAGTCTTGAGGCTGTAGCATCTCTGAATGTAATCAGTCTCTCTCTTGCTCATTTGCTCCAATACTACAAAGCCTGTTCACTTCCTCCTGTAGCTCCCTCACCTGGCAACACGGCTCTTCAACCACAGCACACCTTATGCAAAATAACTTTGTTGACACCTTCACTGCCGTGACACTCTCACTATTGTATCACATCCCTGTTTGCCCACTCCTGTTTCCAGTGCTCTGGGTCAGCCCCACTCCCTAGAGCCATTTAAATTCCCCTTGGTTGCTCCCGGCAATGTCCCCTCCTCTCCCCATGGCTGCTCTAGCCATCCAGGTTGTGGGGCTGCTGCTTGTGTGCTTCTGGACTCAGGAATCCCTGCCTTGTACAGCCAGCTCACATGCCCTAGACTTCCTCACTTACAGCTACCTGAGCCTCGGTGACCCTTTTGAGAGGATCAGAACATCTAAACAACTTTGAAGCTCTATACAATGTTGTATATTTCATATATATGTATGTATGGTCATGTATGCATGCGAGCATACATACACGTGTGTGTGCGTATAGAACAACTTTTATACATACACACAGAGACATATATATATGTATAAAAGCTGTTCTGTTTTAGAGTCTCACCCTTGTGTCACTGCACTGTACGGTAATGGCTGTAGATAGCCAACTTATTTCACAAGCACAGAGATCAGCTATTGCTGCCCGAAGGACAGGTCTGTCTGGCACAGCACTTCAGGGGCTGCAGTAATCAAATGTTCCAGCCTGGCTGCGTGGGGGTCCCGCACAGGCCGCTCACGGCAGCCAGCACTGAGCCCATTTTTTGTGAAAGTTTGCCATCTAGAGGCCATATCAGGAAGCACAAGCATAGAAAACTACCTTAATAAAAGAAAAACGGACTAAGTGGCTTTTCTGGTTGTTCGTAGGTACAGTGAGTTCAAAACAGCACTGCATTTAATATATTTCATGTTTAGCTTTCTTGGAAATATCATCTTGAAAGCCTTGAGCTAATGCTTCTCCCTAAACCAGAATCAGTTCTTCATGAAATTTGTAACATGCATGTGTAATGTGCCTGGTTCTAGTGTAAGGGGATTTTTAAAATATTCATAAAACAACATCAAAATAATTAATTTTAATCCTTTTACAGAAATAAAAATTTTCGAGAGACCATCTCTTCTGCTGGTGGAGTAAAGATCAAATCAGCAGTAAAAACAAGTATGTTCATTGCACACAGAATTCCACACTTGTGAAAGGTAAAAATTTGTTCTCTTTGTAATATCACCCTTTTTATTCTCCTTACAAAAATATCTCAAACTATGTTTGGGGTTTTTTTCACTGAAAAAATGCTGACTGATATTTTCATTTTCATTTGTGTTTATCAAATTAGAGAAGTTGAATGAAAATACCATTAAAATACCTTTAAAAGATTAAGAAAGATCTTGAAAGATATTTGGCAACCTTTCCAGCAAAGTTTTCAGAAAGACTAGCAGTGTTATAATTTCAGGAACACCTGTGAATAAATCTGGCTTCAGTGGGTTTAAGGATTTTGTTTTGCTCTCTGTCTTCAGATGAAGTAGATAATTGGGTTCTGCACCATTCACTGCTCTTGTTTACTCTTGGGTCAAGAAAAGACATCTCGCCATACCCAGTTGCCCAGGAGATACAGTAATTTGCAGGGCCAGTAAAGCAAGATGTGTAAGTTTTGAGAAAAAAGTAGTAGGCTGAGAAGTTCTCTCCTTTTGAGACGTATTTTCTACGTGAATTAGCATTTACACCAAGACACTCTGTAAATCCTACTTCTACTGTTCTGATTAGTACAACCAGGTATTACTTAGGTGCATTTTGTGCTTTCAAAATTGTACAGATGTATATTAGTCATAACAAAGACATCTTCTCTCTACAAAGCCTGCACTAGTGTTCACTGCCAATGGATTTAAAGAAAAATAATTTTGAACTTTGCATTGATTTGAAGCAATTTCTGTCTTCAGGAATCAAATACCACACTGTTTCCTAATAGGAATTTAATTAATTCTTCTTGTTCAACAATTAATTAGTTCATAGTTTCTATGTCTGTATTGAACACGCATATTGACAGTTCTTTATGTGAAGAGGAAAGACACACTTTGCAAAGACAGGTCTTAGCAATATCATAGAGTTTGCTTCACGAGAGAACTGTACTCTTCTACCAGTTTCTTCTTCTCATTTAATTTTTCCAGTACGACATCCATTAAGTGTGAGGCAAAAGGAAACTGAAAAAGAAACATAGTAAGAAAAATGATCATTGGACTTCATTTTCCTCATGTGAAAGACATTTATTAAATATCTTTAAACTATCAGATAACACTTAGTTCTGACAATTACCACACACAGACGTATCTGATCTTTAAAGTTCATCTGCTCAGTTAGTGTCTGAAAATTTGCTCTCTATCATAAAAATGATATAAAAGCAGAGTAAAATGAAAAAAGATAAACTCCTTATTGAACAATTCATGCTTTACTGACCATGTTAATGATGTAAACTGCAGTACCAGCATCTCTGTCATTTCTCTTCAATCAGCTGATCAATAAAAGGTTACAGTCACCTCTAGGGCATGCAGAAATAGTAGTATATGAGTGTATGTTCACTACTCTCAGGAGGATGAGACAGAACTACCAGTATAATTTTCAGTGCTGTGTCAATTGCCTTAGACTCACACATGAAAACTTGTATAATAAACAAACAAACAAAGACCCAAAACCCCAAACTACCCCCACCACCAAAACACCAAAATAAAACAAAACCAAAAAAAAAAAAATCCCCAAACACAAACCCACAAAAAAACACTCAAAGCAAAATAAAACCTCAAACCTCCAAGTGCATTAATTGGAATATGCCACAAACGTCTGCCTCTCTAAAACATGATACCAAAAAATTGTAGCCTGCAGAAGAGGAGACTGAGGGAAGACCTCATTGCAGTCATGACTTCCTCATGAGGGGAAGAGGAGGAGCAGGCACTGATCTCTTCTCTGCGGTGACCAGTGACGGAACCCAAGGGAATGGCCTGAAGTTGTGTCAGGGGAGGTTTAGGTTGGATATTAGAAAAAGGTTCTTCCCCCAGAGGGTGTTTGGGCACTGGAACAGGCTCCTCAGGGAAGTGGTCACAGCACCAAGCCTGCCAGAGTTCAAGAAGTGTTTGGATGATACTCTCAAGCACATGGTGTGACTCTTGGGGATGGTCCTGTGTAGGGCTAAGAGTTTGACTTGACGATTCTTGTGGGTCCCTTCCAACTCTGAATATTCTGTGATTCTGTGATTCTGTGATATCTACAGAGAAAAATGAAACCCTCTTTTCTAACTCCTCTGTATAAGAGTTGTATTTGCATAACTGATGCCTTAAAAGAAAGATATTTGGTATATTTTTCAGTGTCATCTCCTTAAAGCTTAAGGGCTTTTCTTTCACAGTCTTGATGTGTCAGTTCACTGTTTGCTGGGAAGTATTTTTAAAGGTGGTATAGAACACTGGTCATGGCAGCGCCACTCAGAGTGGCCAGTGCTGTGCCACAGAGGAGAGCAAGGCAGTTTTCGTTCACTGTCGAAAAGTCTCTATCAGTTTCACAGAGCTCTGTCACCTTCCTTGAACTCCTGGAGAGACCAGTGGTGGCTGAGGGATCAGCCCCACACCAGCAGTTAACAGCTTTTTCTCATATCAGAAGGAGAGAGAATTTTACCTTAATAAGGCCACCAGAAAAAAATTTGGTAAAATATAGCATTTGGTGAAACAAGCCAATCACCTGCTTGTGCTTTTCACAACTGTAGTTGAATGCAATACTTTTTCATCTAGAATTCCTGTCTAGTTCAGTGTTGCTGCCCTGACTTTATTTTTTCACTTTTTTATTCCATTTTAAAGAGAAAATTGTATAGTACCTACACCAGATGGAGTACTGCCTGTTTCCTAAATATATGAAACAAAAATTACAAAAGAAACAAATAAAAAACCCAGACATAAAAGTACATAAAATACAAATGCTGATGTAATGTGTGAACTGATATACAGATATGAATCTCTATACTGATATTTGTAATTACTAACAAGTCAGAAAAAAAGTCTGAAATGGTAGCAAGGAAAATCTTATCAATAGCAGTCACTTTGTAGTTACAGAAAAAGGACAATAATACACATTATTTCCCTTTTCTACAGGAAATGGAGTTTTAAAGGGCTGGTACTTCTGGCCAGACATGTCTCCATCTGTCATAAATAACTTATGCCTATGGTAAGAATTTTCTAGTAGTCATCTACACCTGTCAGTTTTCTCCTGTGTGCTATTGTGATGACTTTTGGGGGAATAGAGGGATCGAATTCACTGAGCACAAATCTATTCAGCGTAATATAAGACATAATCTTACCTGACATTCTGTGAGGCTTATTTGCTATCATGCTTTAAAAACACAGACTCCAGCATCCTGTTCACTCTAATTGCTCTCTCTCTTTGTCTAAATATGTTTTCTAAGAGAACACTATATCATTACTTCAAAGTCTCTAATTCTTCTGGCCTAGCTTGACTTCATTCATTCTGATAGATTTCACCTCCTTAATGTTGTACCTGAGATGAATGGTTTCTTATTGATGTCTCTGGCTCATATAATTCTAGCTAAATTTTACTTGCTGATCACTTCTCTCTGTGGCTTCCATGTGATAGCAAAGTGATATTTCAAGAACCCTTTCCATTTAAATGACTCATTTAAATCAAGAGCATTTGGAAGTGGAACATTATGCCATTCTTTCAACATTTGTTGTTTTCAGAGAAAGTGCTGTATGGTTCTATCTGGTTTTCTTTCTATACACACACCCAGAACTGGATGATCTCTAGAGTCTTCATCTTTAATAGAAGCCTGTAAGATTTACTTTTAATGATGGCTCTGCAATTATACTGGGAAGCTTTCCTTTACATTTTTCTCTAGAACTTCACAACTTTTGAAGATGTCTCTATTTATCCCAGCTTCCAAACCTGCCATGTGCTTGGGGAAGGCTTTGGAAGTTCAGTGAGTGCTAAGTGCACACCTAAAGAGTCAAAACTTGTTTATACCACGATAGTTAGATATTTTAATACATAATGGTATTTCTTTCAAATGCTTTATAATTATCTGTGCCACAATCCATCTAACTGAATGGGCAGTGATCCTAAATCAGTACATTATGGTAGGCTTTAACAGAAGCAGTATTTCATTGACTTGTATAAATTCACAACATTTGAAAGCGCAAGCTTTAAATCCACTACCTGTGTATTTAAAGAATTTTATTTATTTATACATCTTTCCAGACTTACAGATTTATTCTTTGATACTAGAAAGCCATATGAATGAAAGGCATATTTCTTACACAACTTATTAGACAGATACCTTGGTGTATGGATATATGTAAGGTAATATGATCCTAAAAAGTCAGAAATGGTGACAGTTAATTCTGTTTCTCTAACCTATTTATTCTGACCTTAAGTTTGCTTCTTTTGGATATCCCTTCCGTGAAAAACAAACTAGTAATACTTACCGACCTTACACCACATGACTGAGTCTCCCTCAACACAAGTGTATAAATATACACATATTTTCCCGTGAAAAGACTTATAATGAATGCAAGGCAACGTTGTTGTTCTGATGAGACATAGTGTCTCCATTCGCAGAGTGTAGCATTACTTGTCTTCTGCTTTACAAAATCTAAAATGTGCTATTATAAAAATAAAGGTATTTAAATTTTAGAGTACATAAATTAGTGGTTACAACTATTTTAAATCTCCCCATATGGATCATCAGTATAATACACTTGCCCAAGAAAACTATTCAAATGCACTGCAGAGCTGATTTAAATTGAAGTAAGTGAACCACAAAAAAATAATCTGAAATAAAACTAGAAACTCAGACCAATAACCAAAGCCTCCTAATTTCACCATAAAATAAAAGTCAAAGTTAAAAAAATAAATTAGAGAAATGCTTCACTTCATTGTTGTTCCTGACTTCTTTGTTCTTATTCTGCTTTGTGATGACTGTATATACATGATTATATAAAGATGTGTGGGTCCATCTGTATTCTTATTCTGAGTAATCAAGCCAATTTCTCCTCGTTTTCAGTTCAGAACAAGTGATGTAACATGGTTTTGCTTGTGTGTATGAGATAAAACACAGATTTGTACTGCAGTGGATTGTCAATGCACAGGACTAAGCTCTTACTCTCATAGTGAGAACAAAATCATGGTTACTTTCTGATGGTCTGATATCAATGCCAGTGGTGCCCACAATATGGTTTAGACTACGCTGGTGCTGCTTTTTAAGGTGTAGGTACTTGAAATACCTGGTGATGAGTTGCAGTAGTGAGTGTGTGCAGCTGCTTGTGCACGGGTCAATATGTGGGTGTGATCAGAGGACAGGCAGTGAGTAGACACCTGTTCAAAGAAAAGACAGACTGGAGACAGTCTAATGAAAAGCAAAGCAGGTGAGCTCCAACTGGAAGAATTTGAAACAATCATAGCTGTAGGTGTCCATTCCCAGAGGACAGCAACACAAATCTGTATTGGGAAGCCAGTGCAAATCCTAAAAAGGGGCTGGGGAAAATCCCTACTGATGATTAGTGAACATACTGTTCCAAAACCTGTTCTAGAAATGGGTTACATACATACTTACAGAATGCCCACAGAACAGAGGGAAGGGAGCCTTTGTGGAAGTTTTCACCATTGGAATATGATATTTAGATTCATAATGAAGTCAAAAGAGTAAAGATTTTACTAGGCAGCTTTGTTTATGTGATATCCCTAGGAGTACATGAGAAGGGAGAGAAGGTAAGCAGATCTCATAGGGACATACTAAATCAATGCTGTCATTTGCTTCACTGCTTGGAAAAGTTAGATAGATGTTTGCATTTTACTAAAAAATAGTTCTTGAAGACTTCAGGCAGCAATCTGGGTTGGGCTAACGTGCTGTACTCACATACGAAATTATTAATGGATTGCTCTGAGATGATGTTCCTTACAATCAGTCACAATGAATGAAAGCTGAGAGTGGTATAAGAAATCATGTTTAAGTTACATGAAATAAAAGTCATCCTCTTGCTTTAGCTATGTAAGTTTCCTATGATGAGAAAAAAATAGAGAAGACTGCTATTTTGTTTGGGGATTCTTGGGGTGTGTGTTTATAATTGTAAAAAGAGAGAGCTACGTTCAATTAATAAGACACACACACACACACAGACGTAAGGGATAAAGTGGGTAAAAGCCCCACCACTTGCCTTGCAAGCACTAAACGCACAAACATATTGAGATAACCATATTTGTTCCCTCCCAGATACCATAAACCATTGAAAGCTGAAAAGTCTGTATTGTCATACCTCTCCCAACTTCTCCTGAGCTCAAACAGTAATGCATAATGAGTCTGATGCCTCTACTCATATTCAGGTAGCAGCTATCTGCATGCACTCATGTGAACCCTCTCTACATTCAGGTTCTTCATAGGCAAGCGAACCATTTTCTTTTTATCCTAATGGCAATTATTAAGATGATTTATTTTTATTCTTTAGTGAAAACACTCTAGGGTGTTATCATATAAATACAGAAAAGCAACAGAAAAAAACCACTTCTTGGCCATTCAAATGTAGATTTAGACAGTAAGTGATTTTTCCCAGCTCTGCCAAATCCATAACATGACTGTACTTTCATATTATATGATCTGTATTTACGTAATAACATCCCAATGTAGAGATGTCTCTTTCAAATCATAAGCTTCTTAGCAGTGGTATAATTTCTTGACATGTGTTTCTATAGTAGTCGATAAAATAAAGACACAAACTCTGACTGGTGCCTGTGAGTGTCAGGAATGCAAAAATATTTATCACTAAAAATATTAATATTCTTGTAAAGCTGACAGATATTAGACATTTTCAAGTCATAAGAGTATGGAAAATAAAGGTACAGATGAAGTGAAAATAGAGGTGTGCTATCCTTTATCATTACACTTTAGGAAAATCTATAAACTGACAATAAAAAGCAACTAGTGCTTCCCTCAGTCCCCCCCAAAATTCTAATGCAGCAGTAAAATGGCGTATGTCAGTAATAAAAATAAAACGTCTATGACATTTTAAATGTTATCGTACTGTCACAGTGGAATAAAATTAGTTTGAAGAATGATCTAAAGGGATATGATGCAGTTCATTATGTATAACAGCAATAGCAGCAGTTTCCCAGTGTTCATAAAAGTTTCTCCATTAAATTTACCTCCAGTCAATAATTAGGAGTCCACAAATAAACCTAGGCAATTAAATCAATACTGCTGGGCAATTATGTTCCAAAGTCCTGGCTCAATGGCACAAATAGACACTATATCAAACTGCAGTGTTAGGAGATCTGATGCACTTTTCAACAGAACCTTTACTCAGAAAAACAGAAAAGGGCAATCCTGCATCTTTGTTCAAGATTGCAAATGGTACGCAGTTTGCCAACATGTAACACTAAGTAGCCAGTCTGTTATGAGCAAAGTCTGACAGAAAGCTTACATTTCAGCATGAGCTTTAGTTTTCTGATCAGAAGAATTACCAAAGCTTACTAAAAGAAACCACAACCAAGCTCTACAAGATACGAGTAAAGTATTTTAAAGGGCATAGAGCTCTTCCATGAGCTGCTCCCAAATACAGAGGAATAAATCTTAACAATTTCCATCTATGTGCCTTAACATGTACAGAAATGAAAAGCACAGCTGGCTGCTCCTAAAAAGCACTATAATCCTCTCACAATTCTAAAAATGGGCTGCTTGCCACAAAATTACTTGCACCCTCAGTGTTCCTCCTAAGGAACCCACAAGATGGAGCAAAAATCACTGAAAATCACAATTACTTGTACACAAACTTACACAGCTAAGAGCAATGAGCTCTTCTGTCCCTAGTTGACATCTGCAATCCTAATATAGCTTGTTTCATAGTCAATAATTCCTTCATTCTCCATGCCCTGGTTTTTGCTGTCTGTCTATAGCAGATAAAGAGAAGTGATAAAATTCTGCTATGAAGTTTTTAGTGATTTACCAAAGAATGATAACAAAAGATAGAGTAAGAAGTCTTCATTGTATTCCATAAATCTGATTCCCGCTTTAGAGCTCGTAATATGTACAAAATCTTGAAATGTATAGATTTTGAAAAAAATTCTTAAAATTAAGGCAATTAAATGAATATAAATAATTGTGCTTTTACTGCTGAGTTTCATGAGGTTTAATTAAAATGCCAGTATATCTGACAAAGCCAGTAAAAGCACGCTGATATTTCCATCTCCTCTGCTGCAGAAATTACACAGTCTTAATGGCAGTAAGTTTTGATAATGAAAGAGGGAAAACCTGTCATTTCTTAAAATCTGGTCACAAGACACAAAAGCTGTTCATGATAAAATGTATGATTTGTATGTTCCCCTGAAATGGCTTTCAAAATATTTTCAATCATTTGCATTCTTAACTGTTATTAACTACATCGCTAATGGACCCATGCTAGTGAATATGCATTAGGAACACTGTATTTATAAATCAAATTTTATTTCCTTTCAGACATCAGCTACCCATCATCTAAATAAAGGAGACAACTAAAAATATAATGGAAAAGTTTCAAGAGTCGGTATATGTTGTCAGTGATGTCCAAACAAAAACTGACTATGGCTACAAAAGCTGGGCTCTCACCTGCCAATAAACTGCCCTTGATCACTTACAAGAGGGGAGCATCCCAGCAGATTCTCTGTGTATTAAAAAAAAAGACTTGAAAGAGAAGAAAAAGTATCACACAGGTCACAGCAGCAGTCTCAATGGACCCCGCAGGGATTTCTACTAGTCTCAGACTTGTCATCCTCTATGCAGCTTTCCTCTCTGCCCAGAAAATGTCGATAGGAAAATGTTTGAGGGGCCTCTGGTGGAAATTTTTTCATTCTTTCTGCATTGACAGGATGCCAAATCAATATTTACTTCCCACTAACAAGCTGCTCGAGGTCTCAGTAGAAAATATTGTAGAGAATGCGAGAAGACACGATAATAAACAGCTGTCTGGCTATGAGGAAAACATGAATTGACTAGAAACAGGTCCGCAGTAAAAGGTCATCGAAACCCATGAACTCCTCAGGTGTCCATAACAACTAGTAACTTTAAAGGCACATAAAAAAAAAGTCTCTTTTTCCTAAGAGGTATGAGAGAATGGATCATTTTCACTCTAGCAAGCAGTACACACTGTTTCAATAATTCAATTAACATTTGCCAAGATCTGTGCTGGTTTTCTCCAGCATTGTTTCACTGGTTTCAGTTGTTAAGTTATCACAAATCCTAGAGTAACATTTCTTCAGTTTTATGCAGTGACTCTTCTTTTAAAAGAAATAAAAACAAAACGCTACGAAACAAGGATTTCACATTGCCTTATCACAATATAGTTTGGGACCATCAATGGCAACATAATAACAAATGCAATGTATTAATTACAACCTAAAACCACTTAGCTACTCAGAGTACAAAATTATAATTCATTAAGGGAAGATATAAATTGAGCACCTGTGCTTCCGTAAGTTTCTGTATACGCTGCAGCCATTCTTTATCTTTTTCAAATTCCATTTTTGTCTTTGCTGTTTCCTAAAAAATAGAAACACATAAGAAACAACAAAGGAAATGTGTAATTGGGTATACATTAAATAAAAAGCATATGGAAGTGGGAACTATGCTTGCAAAATTAGTTATCTGAAGCATATCCACCAAGTATCAGTGCCCTGTTAAATTTATAAACCCACCCTTGTCTGTGCATGTCCCTAAAAACATGTGTGGCACGCTCCCTTTATATGAATATACCGGTGTATGTGTGATCTACGTCTAAATTTTATGAGTTCAACATAACGGTGCCTGAGTCTACGCACTGATAAATGGAATATGTAGTGTATGTGTAGTGCAAATTCATCACCTGTGCTTTAAATTTGTTTTCTATTTATAGTTAAGTATATTTGTGTTTTAACATGTATGCACAGTGGCGACTACGACAAAAGACAAAGGATGTAGAAATTACTCTGAGAATGAGGTAAGTATGGAACAATTCTGCCAAAGAGAATGCCCTTTACAGGGCATATATGTATAAATGTTAGTAAACAGGGCAGGGATCAGTCCATTATATTTGTATTCATGAATGTAATCCATATCAGTGCATACACATACCATGCACTGCTGTTTAACCAACGTGAAAACTCTCTTTTGTGGCTTCTTTAATATAAAGCTCCAATAAGATTAAATCTAAGTCATCACCAGAGTACTGTTACAGGCCAATAATGGTCAACTCCTAGACACTTATTAAAGCAACTGTACGGGCTTTTTCATGTATTATTTGATCAGTCCTAAATAAATATGGATAAGAAATCCTATTACTGTATCTATTTAATAGAGGGTGATTTGATGAAACACTATCAAATATTTCATAGTAAAATGTATGATAGAATCAACAAAAAAAGGCAATGGATTTCCCCAGAAACCATCTGTCTACCAGAAATACCTTTAATAGGTATCACAATTCAAGAAAGGAAGCATCAACGAAATCAATCTGTCACAGCAAGATGCATTCTAATTTTGTTTTCATTAACGTGGAAGTCTATTTATAATGTACAGCCCTGCCAAATAGTCTCATGAAAAAGGAAAATACTGTCTCAGCATCCACATGCTCAAAACAGTATGTTTATATTTGTGCATGCCTGAAGTCTTGCCACCTTATGAGTCTCTAACCTGACCTTATTATTTAAATTAAATCATTCTGTGATTTATGTGCTAGATGCTGCCCAATGAAATTTCAGTCTTTACCTGGAAATCCTTTTCCTCAAGAATGGAAATATACAGCATCTTCTCATCTAGCTCCTTTTTACTGATGTCCTTAAAATAACTTACCTCCTCGTCTTCTACATCTAGTATCTCCTCAAGATCAGTTGTTGAAACATTAAGGATAGATGCTGCCAACTGAACAGACTCTTGGGAAAGACAGTTTTTACATGCTTTCATCTTGCCCACTTTTTTTGCCTTTTTGATTTTTGTTCTCAGCTCTTGTATGCTGTGCTGTAACTCTCTGCTGAGAGTCTAGAAGACACAAGCAAAAAAATATTCCACTGTAATTTTTCTTATAGTACAAAACATATGGAAAAAGCAGTATCATTTAGCCTAAGCTCCTTTAGATAGGAATTATCTTCATTCTCTGTTATTGGTTCAACAGAATATGTGTTGGAATACTAAGTAACACGCTATTTACAACACAAAATATGAATTAATACAACAAAACAAAAATGTTCTTAAATATAAGTACGTTTTTATATGTCTTTAGCAAAATAACTACACTCATAATGCCATCAGAAGTAAGACAAAGCAGATTCCACAGAATCAATCAAAATCCTTTCCCAATGCAGTCTATCAGAAATGTTCTTGAAATAAAAAGAGAAATGTCAGGCTTTACTGCAGTCAAATTGAGATTTTTTTAAAGCTTATTGATACCTCACTGCATGCAGAAACACCAGTACATCTCTTTATTCAGAACATGAAATTTTGGTTCCCACCAAGACAAGGTAATTCAAAAGTATCCCGGCTACCAATTCTTCCCGATATAATTTCTACAATTTAAATCATCACAGTAGTGGTAATCCACTATTGATATGCAGCACAACCTTGGAAAACACAAGTCCACAGTATTCAAGGCTTGCATAAGAGAATTGCATTCTCTATGCAGCTGGCCCTACCAATGGCCTGGCCGGGCCAGGCAGTCTCTTTGCAAGAGTGCTCTTTGCAGATAGTAGCTGTTTTATACAGATACCACCTGAGATGCCAGACCAGAACCATGGCTCTGACAAAGTATGAAGCAGAGGTTCTAACAGAAGCCTCAATTTTACATCCCCTTTCTGCTGCTGAAGATACGACTAAAAATTGTACTTGCAGTTAAAGGGAAAGAAGAAATCCAGCAGGCCTGAGGCCACTCTCCTTTGTTTATTTCAAAGCAGAATAAAATAAACAGCATGAAACATCCTGCTGAAAAGACTTCGTTGATCTGAATGAAACCTGAATGGAATCCCAACCTGATTTTGGCTTTTGTTCCCCAACACCACACAAGTACCAAGCTTCAATAGTACTTTCCACAGCTGAACACGAACCAAACTGTACAAAAAAGAACCAATGCTTCAAGTTCCTACCTCTCCTATACCTTAAGTTCTCTGGTTCTGTGAAATAACACTAAGCATTAGTATAAATCATCAGTTGTATAACAGAAGTTATTTTGTTTTAATATTTATGCAACTACAAAAAAAGCATTTTGTCAAAAGCTGAGGAAGAGAATTTTATTTAAAAATTGTTGACTGAGAAACAAGAGCAGTAACTCATTGTCAGAAGATCCTCCTAGCATATTCAACTTCCGTGACTCAAGCAGAACTGTGACTGTCAACACAGACACCTTGGCTGAGTTTAAAATGAGAGAATAAGGTTTTCTTTTGATCGTCCTATGTGGGGCCTATCTTATTAAGCTATATCTCACCAGTAGCTGATTAACTCCTGAAAATTCTTTTTCTGCAGAATGCCTTCATCTCATAGAAACTGACTGCAGAATTATGAAGCCTGTTTATTGGCATTTTGGGTAAAGTACCCTACAGCCTCTAGCGTATTCAAAACACAGTCATTAAAGAGCATTTGCTGATATATTTCAAAGAAAGCACATCTGATCCCAAGATTTGTTTATGTTTGCCTACCACTTCCCAAATTCACAGTTTTCTGTATTTAATAAAATTTAATTCATAAAAATAAAAATACCCTACCACAAATATGGAGAGAGGAGGTACAATGAAATTTTTCTGATTTTCTGATCGAAGTGTGGGTCCCTCCACCTACAGTATTTCCAATAAACTGTTTTGTACATGGATGTGCAGAGTTGAGAGGAATGAAGCAAGGAGCTAGGGCACTGTGGATCAAGCTCATAGAAGGAAATAGACTAGGAGAAGAGGGAGCCCCAAATAGAAAAGCATGCACTATGAAAAAAATACAGTTAAATCACATGTTTTTGTAGCATGTGGAATGCTCCAACATGTGAAGCGGCTCCTGCAACGTGTAGGAGACGTATTTGACAATGGAAAAATAAATTCAACTCCACTTTTTCAATCAAATTGAATCAGCTTCCCAAGTTTTAAAATATCTCTTTTAGACATAAGTGACATCTAGAAGATGCACATTTGTATCCTGATGAAAAGAGGAAATGTAAATTAGAAAATCAAACTATCAAGGAAACAAACTGCAAAGCCACTACAAATAATGATAAATAGCTCAGCACAGACAAAAAGCATGATAATAAACGAAGTTAAACATTCACTTGAATGCCTTAGACAACATATAAACATTGCCAGGCAATAGTCATTCAATATTATTAGACAAATATTATTGGTGCATCCAAAGTCCAAAGGAGGTTCATGATGAATGAACAAGCTGATCACAGCAGTGGAATCCAGAAACTGCAACTCCACTGTGACTGCCTTTTAGTCCACAGTTCCAGAAAAGAAGGTACCAGAAAGACACTGAAGAATCTGTTACAGCAATTTTAAAGAAAAGAAAAACAAAAAAACAAGCAAAAAACCAAAACAAATTAACCTCCAACAAAGAAACCAAAACCCAAACAAAAAAAAAACCTACAAAAAAAACTAAAACAAGAAAAAAAAAGAAAGAAGAAAAAGGAAGTTTAAACAAAAATCAGAGAGAAAATTACAACTAATAGATTTTGATATGCAAGCACACACTTTATATATAATCACAGTAGATCATACATATGGAGGACTTGCACTTCAATTCCTTTTTCCCTCACGCAGTTCTAATACACTAAAGCATATGTAAAACACAAACCATATGTGAAAAATAAGACTACTTTATGGATTTTCAAATTGGACTGTGACAGACTAGCTATTTTTGAACCTCCTTCCTTCATGTTATTAGGCTGTAATAATGTTTTTATATACATTTTTTCACTGGATAAGTGCCTTAAAAATTTTAAGATGCCTTTTCTGTTTATATTTTCTTATCTGACATATACTAATGTATTCATATGCTAAATTCTTTACTTATTATTAGTGATTATATGTCAGTTCATCCTCCAATACAGAAATGCTCAGCGTCAAGTCACACAGCTCTTAGAAACTGAGTTAGGAAGATCCATTTCCAAACTGAAAATGTGTAGGATTTTGAATGAAAAAATTTTCTCCTGTGCATTTAAAAACAGTTTATGTTTAAACTTACAAGCATACATAGGTGATACAAATCTCCCTGCAAGGAAATCAATGCAGTATATGATTTTGGTACTATATTGATGCATAACAATGCCTTTATTAGTACTAGTAATACTAGGATTTGATATTTTCTCTGTTTTTCTTTGGTGTCAAATCTAGGGATATTTTGTTAGTAAAGCCATTTTCCCAACTTAGATGTTACCATCAGAGTTGTTCCTGTGGGACACACTTAGCTGCTACCAGGCAAATAGAATAGGAATTCTTGAGTAATTCCTAAAACAAATCTACAACACATTTTGTCAGACCAGTGCAATCACTACTGATCTGACTGGGAAAAAAATGAGCTTAAAATTCTAACAGCATGACCTTAAAGTTCCCAGCTCTTTTTAATCAGTAGCAATTGTCGAATCATCTACTAACTCCATATGGGAATACAGTATATATTACATATGCTGGTTTGCATAGAGTTCTGAAATATCTCCCTTATAAGGCTTTCTACTTTATTTTCACAACGCGAAATATTCATTCTTAAGCTAATATATTGTTTCCAATTTTGGTCTCCCTATGTAATCACTTAGCACTGTATCTTTTGCCAGTTTTGAGATGTATAAAGACAAAGATCTTTTTTCAATTAAAAGGTAATATTTAAACACTCAAAGAAGCCATGGTGATACAAAGGCCATGACAGCACACTATTAATAAGGTCTTTACATCCCAAAACACTGACACTCGTTGATCCTGTAATTGACACAATTTGATCAATGGCCCCAAGTAATGTCATATGACTGAGTCAACACCTAAAATTTTTCCTGTAATTACCATGTTAGTTTACACACTCTAATGTTGTTGTTTGTAGCATAATAAAACTTAATGCCCCTAAGACAAACCAAAGTCTGATGCTAGATAGCACTGACACTATATATGGCCAGATTTCAGTCTTGCATTGGTGCAGATCTCATGGCAGGGCCCATGGCTCACATGAGTGATGGGTAATTTTAAACTTTACGGTGTATTGTACAATAGTAATAACAGTGTGCTGGGTCCGGCTGAGATCACAGAATCACAGAATCATGAAGGTTGGAAGAGACCTCAAGGATCACCTAGTCCAACTATCAACCCAGCACCACCATAATCACCTCTTAACCATACCCCCAAGTGCCATATCCATATACCTCTTGAACACTCCAGAGCAACTCCCTGGGCAACTTATTCCAATGCTTAGCCACTCTTTAAGTGAAATGTTTTTTTCTAATGTCTAATCTGCACCTACCTGGTGCAACTTAAGGCCATTTCCTCTGGTCCTTTCACTTGAGACATGGCAGAAGAGACTGACCCCCACCTCACTACAGTCTCCTTTTAGGTAGTTGTAGAGAGCAGTGACGTTCCCTCCTGAGCCTTCTTTTCTCCAGATTAAACACCCCCAACTCCCTCCTCATCAGACTTGTGCTCCAGAGCCATCAACAGCACTGTTGCCTTTCTCTGGACATGCTCCAACACCTACCTCAATGTCCTTTTTGAAGTTAGGGGCCCAAAACTGAACACAGTACTCCAGGTGCAGTCTCATCAGTGCCAAGTACAGCAGCACTATCATTTCCCTACAGCAGGACAATCACTTCCCTAGTTCTGCTGGACTCACTATGCTTGGTACCGGTCAAGATGCCACTGGCCTTCCTTGGCCTCCTGGCACTGCTGGCTCATGTTCAGCCACTGTCAACCGGCACCCTCAAGTTTCTGCTGAGAAGATCTCAAGACACTCTTCCCTAAACCTGTATCATTATTGCACAGAATTGGTGTGACCCAAGGGCAGGACCCAGCCCTTTGATGTATTGAACCTCA